ACTGAGGCATAGGATTTCTTGGGCTCGTACCGCTGCTTTTTTTCTTTTTCGCTGATCATTATTAGCCCATCTACGATCAGCCCTCATATTCTCTCCTCAGTTGGAAGCACTACTCAAAGGACCGGGGTCGTGGCGACTGAGAGCGGTTATGAAATTCTCAATGCAGAGGTACTCTTCAGTAAGGTTGTAGAAGTAAGTGAGGGAAACATCTTCCTCAGACTACAATTCCTTTCACAAGTTTGTATACGGGCGAACTCCCGTAATGATGAGAGTCCGAATAGACTCTTTGGGAGTAAGAGCCACTTTGTGGAGCTCCCTAAGGAACCTGTCTATATTAGATTGGAGGGGTTCACCCCTCTCTTGCCGTATATTGCTCAGGTAGCTTAGCGGCATTGAGAACTTCATGTTCGCTTGGAAGTGTCTCAGAAACGTCGAGCTCATTAAGGCCATGAGCCGACTGATCCCGTTGAGAGCAACCTGAACCAACGCTTGGCATGGTCAGAGACTTGGTAGAGTTCCCTAAGGTCATTGAACTCGTATAAATGATCATGCGGATCAGAATTCCCGTTGAATGCTCGTATGTCGACCATTCTAAATCTCGACGGGAGAGGGGTAGCTAACACTACCAAAGAAAAGGGAGATGCCTCTGTGACCTACCTTTGCTCATTCTACTGAGCTTTAAGCTGATCCAGAGCTTGTTGTAGCTCCTCAATCGATCACTTTCCGCAACGTGGGTTCGACCCTCACGGTTGCAATTAAGGAAAGATCGCAAGTCGGACTCTTTCTCACGTCGGCCGAGAGCCCCGACCAATCTCGACACACGCTGGCTGGAGTTGTGTGATGGCATCAAGCGATTCAAGGAGTCTTCTCGACCTCTACTATGGTACGAACTAACCCGCTAATGGGAATCTCCTCGCCTTGCACCTTTGTGGGCGTGCACGTGCGACGTGGCATAGGACGGCTCATGCTATAGCATATCGTCGAGTCGCAATGCCACGGGTATTTTACTCGAGGCGCGATCGGCATTTGCTATTCCCTCGGAGCCCTTGGGTCCACTGTGCGCCACTTGCTTTCCCTTTCTCTGATGCGCTGCAGTGCGCACAACATGGGCTTTCGCCCTTTTTTGCCTTTTCACACTACTTGCAGATGTTTTTGGCGGTGGCATCGCCTCATTAGATTCGGGTGGCATGACCCGATCCAATCGGTCTAGCATTTGACTGACCGTTTGAAGAGTATTATTGAACCTCTCCAAGTAGCTCATAACGGCTGGGTCGGGCTATGAGCTTGAAGGGATATCCCTCATGATGTTCTACTAGACTGGTGGCACTTCAGGAGAAGTGTCCTCTTGTACCTAGGGAATAGCTTCATTACCATGACCGGTTCGCTCAGATTCAAAACCACGAGCCATCTGTTGTTATGGGACTGATCAGTCAAAGATTCCTCTGATGAAGAGTAGGTACTAAATCAGGCCTTTCTTCTAATGCCAAACTGTTGATGCTGGATTTTGACATTAACTACTCGCACGTGTAAAATGCTAAAAGGACTTAGAAGTCACACATGATATAAAAAGGGGTAAATAAGATAAAGGGTGAAGAGCAATGTTTAAAGTGGTTCGGATGCTCAAAAGCGAATCCTATGTCCACTGCTATTGTATTAATAAGAGAGAGATCAGGTCACTCCCAGCGAGCTGAGTTACAATTTGAGTGAGAATATAAGGGGGGGAGAGAGAGAGAGAGTTGTCTAAGCGTAAAATTAGCTAATCCCCTAAAATGAGAGGGAAGTCCTCTATTTATAGTGGGAGCGTTCAAGTTAATGATTGTAAAAATTGCAAGTGGGTAGGCACCGTGCAAATCCTTCTCTGTGTCCCATTAGTCACTTGCCCGAGGGATTTCCTCGACTAAAGCAGGGTTTTGACACGTGGACGGTCTCCAGCCGCTTGTTGGCCTGGCACTTACCTGCTACGCTGACAGGAGCCATGCCACTTGCACTGGGTGTGACGTGGCTACGCCTGGATGGCACAAAACCTTTCTGAGCTTTGACCATACTTTATTGATGAGGCCACGTCAGCCCTACTTTTTCAGGCATAACACCTTCAAAAGCTTTGCAAGTACCTGAGTGGAAAGCAACCATGAGTGATGAATTTCTAGCTCTTTTAAGAAACAATACCTGGGAATTGGTTCCTTATACATCAGACATGAATGTAGTAGGGTGCAAATGGTTTTTAAGACTAAACTTAAGGCCGATGGGACATTACTAAAGTATAAAGTAAGGCTGGTGGCTAAGGGCTTCCAACAAACACCAGGTTTGGATTATTTTGACACATTCTCTCTTGTTGTCAAACCTGTCACCATAAGGATTATATTGTCCTTAGTTGTACATAATCAGTGGGATATCCAACAAATCGACATTAATAATGCTTTCCAAATGGTGAACTAACAGAGACTGTTTTCATGGTACAACTAGAAGGTTTTGTTGATTTAACCTATCCTAAGCATGTATGCAAGCTTCATAAACCCTTATATGGGCTGAAACAAGCTCCTAGAGCTTGGTTTGACAAACTAAAACATGCTTTAGTTTGTTAGGGACTCACCAATTCTGTATCTGACACAAGTTTTTTCTTCTACAAGAAAAGCCATCAGGTGGTATACCTATTGGTATACGTAGATGATATCCTCATCATAGGTACTGATCCTACCCTCATTTCTCAGATTATTCAAGACTTGAACAAGCAATTTGCTCTTAAACATCTTGGTGTGTTACAATATTTCCTTTGCTTTGAGGTTAACCAAAATGATTCAGGCTTACACCTTACTCAGTCCAAGTATGCTCAGGACTTGTTGATTAGAGTTGGAATCACTATAAGAAATATATTATATTATGACAAAATTAATTTTATCAAATGTTATTTTGTCACAAGTATTATAGGTATTATGACAAAATAAAGAAACATCACATTAAGAATGACAAAGAGAATATACAGTGACTAAAAAAAATATTGTCATAATATTTTATCATAATAAAGAAACTCATAAGAAATATAGTGAAGAAAAACGTTTTTATCATAATATTTCGTCATAATTTTTTTGCGCAAAATTTTGGCATCTAAGTAAATTATTTATTGTAACAAATATATTTTGTCATAAAACATTTTAGTCACTAGATTTAGTTATACATGCTATAACTACAAATTATTTTGTTACAAAAGAATTTATTTATTATTAAAATAAAAAATTGTCATAATAATGTTGAAATAGAGGTATTAAATATTAATGATAAAATGTTTGAGTCAAAATCTAAGCACTGAGATAAATTATCTAAGGGAAAATTTATATTGGCATTACGTTCCTTCTAATTAGCGTGTTGATTGAGCCATTTAGACTATGCTACTATCTTTATATGCTGGATGGATTTCATGTATATGATGAGCTGTTTTAATAGAGGCATAATTATCATTTTTGCTGTATTTTTATTTTATTTATTTTTTCAGAAAAATACAAAGGCCACCAACAATTATCAACCATCTAAGGGGCTGTTTATTTTTTGGTCTTGAATAAGTCTAATTTTACTTGATTCAGACATTTTAGGTTTGTCTGTTTTTTAAATTTTATCTGATAATCAAATAAAATGTAAAAGCAAAAAAAAAAAAAAAAAAAAAATTACTTTTATCTTAATACTAAAACATCTTAATTAATATCATTTTTATTTATCAATTATATTCCTATCAAATTTAAATAATTTCAGTTTTATCAAAATCTTTATATTATATTTTTTGTCTTTTTTATTTATCATAGTTGCACAAATCAAAATCAACCATCAAATGCAATCAACAATGGCGGAGCCAGATGCACTCGGGCTTTAGAAAAAAATTTAAATTTCGTATAGAAAAAAATGATTTTACTCCCCATAAATTTAGTTTTTTCTAGCCACCAAATTTTTTGAAAGTAACACTTTAACCCTTATAAATGTAACTTTCTAATCACTTTCTGGCTTTGTCATTCAGTAAACATTATATTTTAGTGCCCCCAGAGGCCCAGAATAAATTTGTTGGCTCCGTCCCTGGCAATCAACTTGCTTGGAATAATTGATCAAACGTTCATATAACAATTGTGAGACCAAATTGAAAATTAATTCTTTCAATGAGTTGATTAATTTCATTGTTTTTAATTTTTTTGTTATAATAAAATTTTAATTACTATACAAACACAATGTAATAACATAATTATCATTAATTATTATATTTTATTTTATTTGTTATTTTCATAATTTGAAATAACATAGTTATCATGCATGTAAAAATATAAAAGTAACTTCATAAGGACAACTATGTTAAAACACCGATAAAAACAAACAGTCAAACACTTATAATTAGACAATGAAAAAGAAAAATATATGTATCTATCATAATAGTACATTCGAACATATTCAATAATTAGGACCATTTAATTTTCAGGTAAAAAAACAAATACCACCTAAATTTCAAGTTATAAAAATACTAAAATTAATAGAACTTTGAGTGTGAAATGTATTGTTTAGTCTACAATAATCAATTTCTTTAATATAAATTTGTGTAAAGTGTTTGTAATATTTTTCACTGTCTAAAAGCAAATTGGTGCCTAATCTTTAATGTCTCAATATTGAAACTGAAATATTTTGAGTAAAAATACCTTCACTTGGTTCTATAGAAAGTAATTTTCTTCAAAAAAACATTATCATTTATCAACTTTACTCCAATTAAGATGATAATTTCTTAATTAAATCATATTATTACGATATTATAACAATCCGTTTTCAAAAGTATTTCAATTACTCATTTTTGTTTTCATAAGATTTGTTATATTCCTTATTTAAATAAACTCTTAAATTTGATTTAAAAAATGTCAAATCTCTTCCAATCTAATATGAGATGGGCCTGGAACCCGAGCTCGGGTCAATTTAAGCCTGGCTCCGAAGCCCATTTCTTTTTTCTTAAGTACAACTTGACTTGTTTGCTCTAGGTTCAACTTCAACATCTCTTCTGTGTCTCTTGTAACTCAACCACAACAACAACAATGGCGAGCACCAAAGTTCAGAGGATTATGACTTGTACGTTTTGTATCCTTTTCCTTTACTTCTTTGTCTTTCAATGAATTTTTTTTTGTTGCAATGTTTTTGTGGGTTTGTGTGTTTCCAGAACTTGATTTTCAGGTTTCTTCAAAGCGTAAGTGATTTCCTCTTCTGGGTCTGCTTAAAGTTGGTTTTTTGTTGATGGGTTGATGAGTTTTGGGCTTATTTTTGCTGTTCTTTGTTTGCATATATTCAGAAAGCTCGCATTCAAATTTTGGGGTTTTTTTTTTTATTTTTTTTTTGAATGGTTGATGATGTTAGAGATGTGGTATTTGTTAGTTTGCAGTTTTTGGTATATAGTCGTTAATCACATTGTTTATGTTGGATGATCTGAATATTGTCTGCATGTTATTTGTTAGTAAGTGCAAAGATTGGATTTGGAAGTTGCTTACATGGTCCACTTTGCTGGTAAAGAATGTTTTTAGATACAGAGAAACTAACATTCTTTTGTCGGAGTAGATTTGTTTTGTTAATGTAAAATATTAAAATTCTTATCTTGATATGTTTGTTTCTGTGGTATACCTATCATTTTGTTATATTTTCTGAAGTTTTTCTTTTCATCTTTCATCTGGTGCTGTTTATGGTGATGTGTTTCATATTTGCTGTTCCCATCTATTTATAGTTCTCATCAAGTATATACTATGTATAGTACTAGGTTGCAACGTGGTCACTACCCCATATAAAATTGAAAAGAAAAATAAAGCACTGCAACACAAAGAAGAAATAGAAATTAAAAGATGCATCTTTACTGGCATTTAATTTTGCAATTTCTTGCTTCAGTTCCTTTATGATCTAACTCCTTAGCATGCTTAGCTTTTGAACCTCCAGCCAATCATAAATATAAAAGTAGGCTGGCTTCGTGTTGAATTCAACTTTTGAACAGCTCGGTTTTCATATCTGTGATATCGTTTCAAGCATTCTGCCCTTCTGTATTTATACAAGTTTAGTTTGTTTCATTGACGCATTCTGCTACTAATTGTTATGATAGATTAGGGTTTTGATTGGCAAACACATAAGAATATCATTCTACTCTTCAAGTGGCTCATTTGTTTCAGCATGTTATTTTGTTGCTGACTTTCCAACTAGGAATGCATAATATTACTTGTATTTTCTTCACTTCTTTAATCTTCAATGATAATAAATTCAGTTATGAGGGTAGATATGATTTGCTTGCATCAATTATTCATGTTTCAACTGTCAAACTCACGACCTGTTGAGCTTTAATGTTCATTTTTACTTGAAGCTTAGGTGTTAGAGGTTCTGAGTTGCATCAATTATTCATGTTTCAACTGTCAAACTCGTAGGAAATGAGCTCTTTGAAACAAAGGAAACCTCAGGATACATTTCTAGGAACATGTAATATTTAGCTTTCAAATGTATAATACATTCCAATTGCTTTAGCGATGAACATGTCTAAGATAAGAAATCTTTATCCATTCAATTCATTATGCCTGGTAGTCTTTCGTTGTTTTTCTTGCTTTCGTTGCAGTATGGATCATGCTTTAAACCTTTCCTTAACTTTTCCCAAAATAAGTAAAATAAGTTAAGACAAATGATATTATTTATAGAAATACCTTCGTTGTAAGCATTTAATAGATTCTTAGTTCGTTCAAAATGTGATTCAATTTCTGTTATTCATTTTGATTTTACAGGGTTTTGATTAGTACATGAACTTGGTTCTGGATGATGCTGAAGAAGTCCACATCAAGAAAAAGACCAGAAAGTCATTGGGTGATTTATTTTTCTCATTTTTTTTTTTAGTACCTCTAATCTAATGCCCATACTTTAAATTCTTTCTGTACTTTCACAGGATGGATTCTTCTCAAAGGAGACAACATAACGAATTTCTTTCACATATTAATGAATTTCTTTTTTCTAAATTGCAGAGGGAAGTGATGATTCATCCAAGGGACGATTTATATTGGCATTAAGCCCCTTCTAATTAGCGTGTTGATTGAGCCATTTAGACTATGCTACTATCTTTTATATACTGGATGGATTTCATTTATGATGAGCTGCTTTAATATGGGCATAAGACATTAGATGGTACTGTCCATTTTGAATATTTTTATCATTATTGAGATGACAAAAATTTTTTGTCACGCCTATATCATTTTGACAATAAAAAATTTGTCATGTACAAATATTTGTATCAAAAATTATTTGTCATGCCATAGAATTTTTTACAAATTTATTTTCGTCAATATATAATTTTTAACAAATAATATTATCATATAAACAAACATGTGACTAAATAAATGTTGTTACAATAAAGTCATTGACAAATAAATTTCTACCATTATTAAAATTGCGAGTAAATAATTTGGTCATCATTCACAATTTTAGCATAATATATTATTTTTTCATCATAAAGCTTATCATTTGGTCTTTAAATGTAAATTATCTATGAAAAAATATTATTTGTAGTGATGAAAATTATTTTCTATTGTCATAAATAATTTATCATAATAAACTAGTTTAAAGTGAAATTATTATTATCACAATAAATAATTATACTATGATAACTAAAAGCTCTTTCGTCACCATATCAAGAGAACTCTTTCACATGGGCTTATTTTTCAAAGAAATCCAAAATTCATCCTTGAAGGATATGCCGATGCAAATTGGGCTAGTGATGTAAGTAATAGGAGATCGACAAGTGGATATAGTATCTTTCTTGGAGGAAATCTGGTGCAGTGGGTTTTTAGGAAGTAGAAGGTTGTTTTTTTGTCTTCAACAAAGGCTGAATACAGAGCCCTTAGTCAAGCAGCCATTGAATTGGTTTGGATTCAATATTTGTTTCAAGAACTTGGTATAACTATTAACAACACTCATGTTTTGTGGTGTGACAATATCAGTGCTGCAGCCCTTTCTTCTAACCCTGTATTCCATGTACAAACTAAGCACATTGAAATAAATGTGCATTATGTTCAGGAGTTAGCTATAGAAAAGAAGTTATGTATTCAATATGTTAGTAAAGAATATCAAATTGCAGATATTCTAACCAACACACTTCCTAGTTCCGGATTTCAAACTCTCAGAGCGAAGTTAAAAGTAGTTTCTGAGATAGGTAATGAGCTAGACAGAGGTCTTAATAGAGATAACATTTTGTTTGATGAAGATGAAGATGAAGATTTAATTAATTTCAATTCTGGTCCTGGAGGCNAAAATTATTTAGATCTCACAATCCTTGAAGAACCAAAACTTCAATTATCCTTCAGTTGGAAGAAAAGTATTTAGCTACACATAATTTAAAAGAACGCCTAAAGAAAAGAGAAGAGAGAGAGGTAGAGATAGAGATAGATGTCCTCTTTCTTGTGAATAATCTCCCTATTTATAACTCCATCTAATCATAGTTATCCTATCTAGATCAGGAAACTAATTAAAAGCAAATCTCACTAAAATAGGGAGTCTTGGCAAATCCTAGAGATTAAGAAAGGGTAAATAAATCTTTCCAGCTGTCATACATATCTTTTTCTCCAACAAATTCGTAACCCTACGTCAAAAATCTCGGATCCAATAAGGCGCGCCCACGCTTTATTTGCTGACTGCTTTTATGAACATTCTGGGAAAACAGGACGTGCCCACGCTTTAAGCAAAATCCGCTTCTGGAATGCATCTTTTTTGAGCTCCGATTTTTTCTCTCCAAAACTCTTGATTTTGAGTTCAATTTGATTTAACTCCTCAATCTACTCCACAAAATACGAAACATAATCAAAACCCAAGATTTAAGCATTTATAACCATTAAAACATGAGGAAATATAACAAATATATAGATATTATGAATGCTTATCACTTATGCGCTTCAAATCCTCGACGTTAATCGAGGATCGTGGTTCCCTTCACAGCTTATGAATTAGAAATCGCTTGTAATGAGCCAGCTACACTAAAACGCGATCAGACCAGCCCACAGTGTTGAGATCCGAAGTTCTCATGATGAGTTCCTCAAAGACCTCAGGGATTATATCCCCAAAGACTGTTGAGCCTACGGGTGAGTCGAACATGTGATCAACCATGTGACTACTAGAAGAAGATATAATTATAGCTCAACTCTGGGTACCTGAAACAGAAGCAAACATGTGTCAGAGCTTGAAAAACTCGGCGACTAATTCACACTTGCTTTTAGTTTAGGCACCCAAGACAGCTCATGCCACACGACGAACGCATGCGACCTACCCAAGGTTCCGACGGCCACCATGATAAACGCTCTTTAAACCCAAGACCACCGAAGACACACCAAAAAACCCTATTAAAGCCATAGAAAACTCAATGTGGCCATAACAATGGCCATCTTTTGACACGACAATTAGAAAAATAGATAAAGAAATGGAGAAGAAGCCTTACCAGAACAAGAGAAGTGTAAGAACTCGCCGGAAATAGCACCGTGATGATAATTAAACAACAGCGGGGTGAACAAAGTTATCAGAAGATTTTCATTGGTTGAATGAGTTTCTGACGACTTCGCCAGCTTTTATAGTGGTTTGCATGGGAGACAAAAGGCTGGGGTTTAATCATGACCGTTGATCTATAGTGAATCCCAACCCTTCATTCGTTGAGCAATCTTAGCCCTCGAACATGGACACGTGTCGTCCATACGCAAGGAGTGACAAACCATCAAACTGCTATAATGATAACTGTCACCGCACATATCCTCGCCTCTGCGCATGGATAGCTGTAGTCACCCACACACAATGAAATGTGACTGCCAAAGGCTACCGTTTTTAATGCGACATGACCGCATGGAATTTACGTAACTGCCCTAACCTTTCATATTCTCAGTTTGTCAGATATCACAAGAAATAAAAATCCAAAGTGTGAAGTACATCAACCACGCGTGAGGTCGACCCCTGGAGCTCAACCGAACTTGCATCCAATGACCTACTGACAATGCTGAGCTTGATATCAAATCGAGCAATAGTCTTTGAAGCCCAAAACGAACATCGAACACTAGGGGGCAAATGTTGTGTGTGATTTTTCCACAAAGCTCAACTACCACGAAGATGTAGCTCGACCCAAAATCAGCTCAACTCCAACGATTATCCAACCCAACATAAGCTAGTCGAGGTTTAGCTCGACCCAGCACAAGTTAGTCATGAACAATCCATGCAATCGTTCAACCAATTCCCGGATAGCTCCAGATCCTAGATATCTCGGGAGGAATCAGATTGACTACAATCTTTGCGCAATCATAGTGCCCAATCATGAGAATATCAAAATTACATTTCAAATAAATTGTAATCCCTTTATTTTCACTCTTTTCTTTGTACAAACATTGTATATAAACCCCCTCCAATGATGAAAAAAGGGTTGCAAAATTTTCATAAAACTCTTATTGTAAGCTCTCACAGCAAATACAAGAACAGTGGACGTAGGCTCAAGAGTTTATCTTGCCAAACCACTTTAAAAATCTTTTTGTCATTTACTTTTTGTATCTGTCATTTGCTCATTGCTGATTAACTGTAATCACGCACACATCAGTTCCGATCCTGCCTAGGTCGATCGGATCACTCTAGTAGGTGCAAATTTATGTATCAACAATAAGTTTTATTGAACTTGACTTTCCATGGGTGCTAGTTTTGCATAGTAGAATATGCAATCGAGAAGAACCACATAATGCAAGGATCTCCATAAATGATTTAGTTGAGAAATTTCCAAAAGGCCCTCCTTCAGGAATTTCACCACTTAGTTGTTTGAAAGATAAATTTAGATATTTGAGGTAAAAGATTATTTCTAAAGACTTGGGAATCAATCTAGAAAGATTGTTACTTGACAAATCCAAGAATTCAAAGCTTCTCAAGTGACCAAATGTTTCAGGAATTGAGCCTTGTAATCTATTGAATGCTAAGGAAAGGTTTTGTAGATTTTCTAGGCTGCCAATAACAATTGGAATATTTATTGAAAGAAGATTCCTTGACAAATCTATGTTTATCGCAACCTTAAGATTTCCAATCTCTAATGGAAGAGATCCATCCAAAGAATTTGATGACAAATTCAAGTACAAGATGTCCTTAAGGTTCCACAAAGTTGAGGGCATAAAAGAAGTTAATTTGTTGAAACCTAACGACAATTTTCTTAGTGTACTGAGATTACCTAAGCATGCAGGTATGGATCCATAGATCTTGTTACCACCCAATTGCAACTCAACCAATTCATTCAATTGATAAAGACTACTTGGGATGAATCCTTCCAATTTATTACGTTCAAGATTCAAACCTTGGAGTTTCCGTAATCCACCAAATGTAACTGGAATTGATCCAGTCAATTCATTGTCTTCCAATTGTAAATCTATCAAGTTGTTTAAGTTGTTGATTTCTTTGGGAATGTTGCCACTAATGTTGCATTCAGTCATGTCTAAACTTTCCAAAGAAATAGAAAGATTTCCGATGGAACTTGGAAGGATGCTACTTAGTGGATTTCCGTAAAAGTCTAGATGACTTAAATTCTTTCAATTTGTCAAAGGAGAAATTAAACTCAAATCTTGAGTAGAAGATGTGAAATAATTTTTAGATAAGGCAAGCCACTCAAGATTTCTTAAATTACCAATTGCGCTAGGAACGATGCCTAAGAATGAGTTGAATCCCATTTCTACAATAGAGATCTTGGAAGCATTGATAATGAAAGCGAGAAATGGCCCACTGAAATTATTTTTTGCCAAGTAAACTCCTTAAGATTTGGAAGCTCTGCAGTTGGTGGAAGAATTCCCGTGAGTTCATTGTCCAAAACAGAAAGTAATTTCATTGTTGAGATGTTGAAGACAGTAGCAGGGACAAGGCCAACTAGGCTGTTAAATTCAAGTTGCAAAGACTCTAGATTACAAAGATTACCAACTTCATATGGTATCTCGCCTGAAAAATGAGAGTTCAATTAGTGAATTAGTTTACAACAAGAAGAGATTCTTAAATAATAACATAAAATTTGTTCACGTGAATATGTAGTTCTTCAATTAAAGTCAAGTTCCTAATTTCTCTTGGAGTATGTTTTCTTATTCTACATTGGTCCAAACTGTATGGAATTGGACATTTGAGTTTGGTTACAAGAGATATACATATATGCCTTCAAAATTTGAAAGATGTTGACACCTTTTTTCTGGAAGGTTATTGACTAGGCTACTATCTGAAATTTTCAAGCAAATTAAAAAAGAAATGTTAACGATAAGAAGAAATAGTTCAACCACTTAGCTTGTGGCCAAATGACAAGACCTTAAGTTACCCAGAAGTCTTGTGTTCAAGTCCCACCAAGTGGCATCCTACCATATTTGTGACTTACCTACCTCATTGGACTTATAGGGTGTTCAATAGATCCCGATGATCAGTTTAAGTGCGTATAAGCTAGCCTAGACACCCCGATCACCTACCATATTTATGGCTTACCTGGTCCAATTGACCCTAGGAAGCTATTATTATTTCTAGGTTACTCAACTATTTTGAAATTTCTACTTTAAAATAAAATTTAAGTAATTGTACTGTTCTGAAATTTTTAGAAAGAAGGTTGCATATATCGTACCTTGGAGTTTATTGTATCCAAGCCTTAGCAACTCAAGTTGAGTCAAGTTTCTGATTTCTTTCGGAATGGACCCTGTAAAATTATTCATTTGCAAGAATAAGTATTGCAAACCCTTGCATTTTGATAGAGTTGATGGTATATCACTATTGAGGAAGTTTTTATCCAAAAAAAAAAACCTTTCCAAATTAGGAAGATAATCAAAAAAACTTGCAGAAACTCCACCTGATAATCCATTATCACCGAAGTCAATATATCTTAACAAAGTCATGTTGAAAGGGATGGAAGGGAAGGATCCCGAGAGTTGGTTTTGATATAGATTAAGCATTTGCAGTGAAGATATGTTGAAAATAGAGGTGGGAATGGAGCTCGAAAGCTCGTTATAATCAAGATGAAGTCCTTGAAGTGAAGCAAGTTGCCAAGGGACTAAAGGAATAGTCCTTGAAAATTCTACTTTATTCAAACCCAAGTTTTGAAGTTTGGTTAAGGACCCAAACCATAATGCGGTCTTTAAATTGATGAAGTTTTTGAAACTAAATATCTTTTGAACTGAATTGAAGATATTTGAGTAAACGTAAGTGAGCCAACTCATCCGGGATAGAGCCATATAAGCTATTGTTTTTAATGCTTAGAAATACAAGGAAAGATAGATTTGACGAAATATGGAATGCCTTTATTATTGATTTCTCTTTATCTCTATTGGCTGAGATTAAGGAGTGATTAAAGTTTCAATCAATCAACTTAATTCATGTGATTGATTGAAAAATTACAAGGATTTTTGTATTTATTATTTTCCTTCTTTACATTTACAAAATTGTATAAATTGGCCAATTGTACAGCCTTACAATATCCTGAATATACAAAATTCTTCTCTTTCTCTTTTCTTTTGGGCATACTCTGGGAGAGTCATTATCTTAAACTGCTTCTCTTTGTCCTTCTCTCTGTCTCTATCTCGATTCCTTACATGGTATGTAAACCACACGTTATTATTCCGATGCCCTAAGGTATGAAATTTACTTTTTCAAGTAATTTTCTTTTTTTGAATGGAAGGGTAAAATGGTCAATTTACATGTATTTCAAGATGTGGCCATTATAAAGTGTAAAGGATGATGTCATTGAAGAGAAATGAGGGTAGAATGGTTATAAAGTTGATTGATAAGGTTAAATGGCATAAACGGTAACCAAGGGTATAATGGTCTTTTCATACAAAACCATATGATTTAAGTGTCCATAAAAGTGCACCAAGGGTAAATTAGTCATTTACCTAGTAGAATTACTTAATGGTTAAGTGTTTTAAAGAAGTCAAATGGCATTAAATGAGTACTTATCTTTATGTTGTGGTAGAAATGACCAAAACGCCCTTATATGAAAAATTTATGCCAAATGACCTTTATATCTAACTTTTATTGACCAATCACATTAGAGTATCAATGGAATGAATATTTACAAGGTTTAAAGAGAGAGTAGTCGGCCTTGGAGACCCCAAATATATCATCTTCTTCTTCATCTCTCAAATCCACCATAAAAGCCACTAATCCAAGCTTTTATTCTCAAATTTTCTTAGGATTTCAAGTTGATTTTCAAAGGAGATCACCATCCACCCTTAAAGAACTTCAATTTCAGGGTTAAAGGTGAGTTTCAAAACCCTAGTTTTTCTGAATTTTTTAGTTAAAAGAGAAATTCATAAGTGGTTATGTGTGTAAGGTAGAAAGGTGAAACTTTGGAGCCAAGGAGGAGTACCTTTGTGCTTTGAATACTAAGGTAAGGAAAAAATCTCCCTTATGACTACAATTGATAACACCTAGGGTTTATGAAACTTACATTTATTTATGTTAATATGAGTGTGATGCTATGTTTTGGTTATGGATTGTTTAAATGGGTGTGTTGATTGGTGTATGTGTGCATGTGGAGGATGATTATGCCAATTAAGAGATTTGTAGTTGGACGATGTTTTGGCACTTTTTGGTTCTGTAAAAAGGGAGGTTTTTATGGCCTTTTATACTAAGAATGATATGGCAAATGATATGAATGTGCAAATGAAGGTGACATGGTTAAAATGAATAGAATTCGGATTTGGCTTTTTGAGACTTATACTGTACATGCTTCACTGAATCAGTCATAACTGAAGTTATAGAAGTCCGATTGAGTTGATTCTTGAAGTGTTAAAAAGTTTAGAAACAGACCTAAAACTTTTATGTTTTAGCCAAAAATAAATTCGAATTAGAAGATAATGGAAAATTGCTTGAAAGTAACGAACTGTATGGCATCCACCTTCTTAATGGAAATTCCCATTTGTTTCTAATTCTAATAAACCCCTGAATAATCTTACTACTGAAATTCTTTGTATTGTATGAGAAATTGAATGAATTAAGTTAAGAAGTTTAGTAGGAGAATATAGTATGATTGAGCATGGAATATGTTAGTCCATATGTTTGCATTCATAATGGTAATGCATATAGCTTATTTAGTTGTCTTATGAAAAATTTATGAAATGTTAAAGAATGAATTCCATGAGTCTCTTGAGGTATAAACCAAGATCAGAGGAATGGAATTCTTATGGAAACCATGAGTCCTTTGAGGTGACGACCAAGAACAAGGTAATGGTTTAAATGAATCCGATCGGATAACAAAGACTAATGAAACCATCAAGTATAAAGACAAAAGAAATAAGCATGCCATGTACATGAATATTTCATAAGTCATATATGTTCTATGTTATATTATGTATGATTATGTTATGACTTATGTTTATGAGAAAAGTCCAAAGTGTATGATATGTTTTATGAACTTGTTATGTTAAAGAATGAAGGTCATATTTTGTAGGTAGGTAAGGTCCTAAGTAATATACTTGTAAAATGATGTATAATGAACCTTAATAGTTTATAAATGGCCATATTCCTTACTGAGCGATTAGCGCTCACCCCACGAAATGTTTTAAAATGTTTTGCAGGTAAGGATTAAGGCATGAAGCTGGGAGAGGATTCCGAGGGACGCTATGAGCATGAAGGGATGTTTTAATTATGACTTTTGAATGGTTTTGCTAGTATTTAGTGTAGTAATTATGTTCATACCTCATAATGTAGTAAATATGTCCATGTTATAATGGAGTATATATTGTTTGTGTTAATAAAGGAAATCAAATTGCTAGTAAATTTTATAAAAGTATGTATGTTCTAGTAAGTATTACTATGGATTTCATAATTTACTCCAAGAAAGGAAATTATATTTTTTTATTATACAATGAACTTATTATAGTTTAAAAATAAACTTCTTTCCTAGGCGTGCCTTTTCTAGGTTCTCAATGGCCAAGGGATACTTAGGAAATACCCGGCTAGGGAGGGGTTTTACATGGTATCAGAGCTTAGCTAAAAGCTTTTGCTTGCCTATCAACTAAGCTTCTTCCTCTTTGTCCCTATAAACAATCAAAAAACCCCATTACCCTTCAACATGGAAATCAACCCAAATACAACTACAGAAAACCCAGATGGCCCAATTAATACAAACAGCCCAATCACCACAGACAGTCCACATAGCTCTAGCCCAAACAATCAATCTATGCTTGGTACAACCCACACAACTCAAACCAGGCCTGACCCAACCCATTATCCATATGGAATGTCAGGTTACAACCCGGATTCTTTTACCCATTTAAGGCCTGACCCAACCTTTCTTAGAATACTAGGGTTACAACCTAGATTCCTTTCCTACATCAGGTTCGGATCCAAATCCCTACTCGCATCCCTTTTAAATTGTTCCAACCGCCGAGAACAATCGCCCTAAACCAGGCAATGTTCTTTTCTCATTGGTCTCCGATGGACCTGAATTAGTCCTCATTAAACAAACCCTAAC